TGTTGCTCAGTTCCGCTATGCATAAAAAAACGACGGATCGGGCGGGAGTGCTTCAATAAATACGTGCGCCACGCGGCCGCGCCTCTTTATTTCGTCACCTCACGGTGCAGACTAAGTCCCAGGGGCCAGACTGGTTTGCCCCTAGCAGGGCAATGCCGAGCTACAACTGGCTTGGCCTACAGAGAACGATTCCCGTTACTTTTGGGTACCCCCTCGTATATTCATTGTGATAAGCTCTCGAATATAGTTGGGCATACGCATAAGTCATTCGCTCGCTTTTTCCCCGTGTTACCTGGAGACACTCTTCAACCAACAGCAATGCAAAGATCGTACAGATGACAGCTCGCTCCAAACAAACGGCTCTCAAGGGGAGACTGAGAGCATGCTCACAGAAGCTGGAAAATCTATGGTCAGCTCTCCTCAGAGCCTAGAGATTCATGGATCTCAGAGGATCTGTATAAGATCATACATATTCAGTTCAGTGGCCGGTGATCCTCCTATTCGTTTCTGGCAAACTGAGCCGATATAGAAAATCCGTTCGGTCAAAGTATTGCATTGAAGCACCATTCAAACCAGCTGGACGCGCTATTGAATGAGGCTCTGATTTGTTCGAGTACTGAAGGCACTCATCGACACGCGATATAACCGGGGGCAATTTTCGCTGACGAGCAGTTCGCTCTACCGATTGAAGAGGCAAGTGATATAAGTTTTGCTTTGGGAATCCAATTTAATATTCTGCCACAACTACAGATTTCCGGCTCAGTAGCTCATCACTGTCTATGGTACAGAGAGTTTCATGGCAAAAACAATCGCTTAGGTTGCGGTTGATTATTGTGTAAAGCGATCATTGAACTTGTAATCATGGAAAATGATCATCTCTCGGTTATCTATTGTTTCGGGATCAAAAAGATAAACGCCATAGTATGTTGGCAGAATTTCCTGGGTCCTCTTGAGTCTTGACTGACCGGATCTCCGTGTGTCAGTTGGTGCAGTCCAGCCTCGTGACCGAGGTCAGAGGTGAAACAAGTCATCAGTCGGGTCTCTCGCGACTGATAATCAAGCCCTCCATGTATCTCCTTCCCTCACCTGGCACTGGCGTCGTCCATACGGTCAGCAGCACCAGCAAGACGAACGGCATCTCCATGGTCCCCACCTGCACACGCAGCCCCCTCAGAACATCACACGACACCGTCCGATCTCCACGTGTGCCGCACGACCACTCTCTGCGCACCGGGCGAGGCGACTGGCGGAGCGGGCCCTCAGCAGCCGACGCTGGCCGCCCGGCCGGCCCGTCAGCCGCCGGGGCAGCACCGTCGCTCCGGGCCGCGCCTCCGGACTCCGGACAGAGTTCCCGCACGGTCATCTGGACTCTTGGGTCTGTTGGGAGGCAGCGCGCCGTAGTTTGCCATCTGGATGGCAGCTGAAAAAGTTACCTCCAAACAGTGCGCGCCCGAGCTGTGCTCATAACTTCGTTAGTTGGCAACAACGGACGCATGTGTCTACAACTGCGGCAAACATCCCGGGGCACCGACATTGCGAACTCCACAACAGCACACGCCTGCCGGTTACCTGTGGTTTCCAGACACAGTTTCAGTCGGAATTTAGGGAGCTGTACAACTGTTCACAGCAATTAGCATTCAAAAGTCATGGAGGCTCAGGCAAGCAGTCTTGAAATCGCTAAGAACAAATACCTGATTATCAGTTCTTTCGTTGCATTGGTATCTGGTTATCCAATATCCATGGCTGGTTACTCATACTTACCTTGACTTCTAATGTGTTGCAGATATGTTGTTTATGTAGGTCTTGTTCTCATCGTATTTATTCACCTAAGATTATTTTCTGTTTTGCTCATAAATTGTTTGTCTGTTCCGGTGATGGCTGCGAGGTGTTGGCCGCCACATTTCTACCGCTCGCTCCGGATATGGGTGGTTGGAATAGTTTCGGCGATTCCGAGAGGCGCTCAGCCTGTTTTCAGTCCGAATGCTGCCGGTCTTATTTGAAAAGTGTTGGACAAAGTGCATTCAGGCGAACCATAGAGGTATGAGCCCACTGCTGAAATCCTACACCGAGCTCGAAGCAAAAGGAAAACAGAAACAAAACAACTCTGCTGATAGGGAATTGGAAACTTACGGTATGTTTGCCGTGACTTGGACTAGGCACTCACTGAGCTTATGGAAAACACACCAACGAGTTCAGAAATCCAGCAACAGGCTCTTACAACTTAGCCTAAACATAGATCGCGTCTCCTTTTAACAGCATTTTAAACTGCATATTGAATTGCAATGGTAATAGGTAATCGGGTCCGTATAAAGGTAAAAGGCGCGCTGTTTCAAATGATTTTACAATTAGTGTTTGTTGATTATTTCATAATAACCGTTTTCAAATGTTGATTTTAACGCCAATGCTCATACCTTTGAGTAAATTTATCTCACAGAGAATGACCCATAGCGAAGAACAGTTGATATGTGATGGCCTTTACACCCATGCAATTGCATATTTACCTATTAATAATAATAAAAAATGCAAGCACATACAACATGCTAATCAACGACATATAATTAGTTAGTTATGAGCCATGAATGCATACCTTCACTTTACCGACTCACCTGGACTGAATTTCAGCCTCACCCACAGAAATCTCCCGCAATAACCTGACCCAGAATAGGGTGCAGCGGCTCAGCCAAATCCATCGCCGCCGGGCGCTAATGCACAGCCATCTGTAAGGAATGCAGCAATTTAGCCGCTATATTCGGGACCTGAGACGCATGGCTCTGTGCGCTGCTGTTGGTTCAGCCGTGCAAGGTGCTTCTGACAGTCTGTTGGAGTCTTGGGACCAGGAACGCTAATAGTGAATTTCAGTCTACTTTGAAGTAAAACTCGAGTCCACTGTTGCGGTTCCAAACGTCAGCTTTGGTTTTTATAACAACCTATACTACGCCGCCTTGTCGGTTACACATACCTACCTATACAATAATGGGAAGTTATTAGTCATGTCCGGTATCTGGTGGCATCCAGCGATTCTGTGGAGACTGACGAAACCTGAATTTTAGCTTCCCCAATGTATACGATCGCATACAATGGTGGCGAGAGATAAGATCACAGCTGAGCAATGCACTATAACTCGGTCAGCGCATGTCCGATAGGTTCCGGTAGACGGTGAATTGGCGATATTTTTGAATTAGCCGAAAAAGTCGCAAATGTCCTTCACAAGGACCTTCAACAAGGAGAAGGTCGAGATAAAAAAACAATACTACTTAAAACTTGCTAATGTTAAATAATAGGTATGTTTTTATACAACTGTTCTCCATAAAAAGGATAAATAAACCTAAAAAGATGCAAATTGTGAGAGCATAACTATGCAAAAGTATTTGAGCCGTAAAGCTGAGCTCAAGCCATATTATACGTTAGTAGGTACCTACCTAAAGTATGGCTTTGCATGCGAAGACGAAAAACTGTTCTAACCTCAACACATCGCTCCAAGGTGCCGCTGTAATACTTGCGATGCTGAGTGCGGCCGGCTCCGAGACCGACCCAGACCCCTAGCCGCGGCCTCCGGCCAAACCGCTGGTCGGCGGAACGTGCCACGCATCTCTGCTCTCCGCGGAGCCGTGCCGGTCAGCACAATCCGATCACACAGCGCTCAGTCCCTCTCCACGCTCGGCCGAGCCGCAGATAGAGAGTCCGGGCCGCTACGGTTCTCGATTCGCAGAGAGGGGCTTCTAAGCCGCAGACAACAGAGAGTGTTGGACCGCAGAGAGGAGCTCGAGGGGCTCCCGAACGGTAGAGAGAAGTTCGCGAACCGCAGAGATACGTAACTACATTCCCTTAAACTCAGTGAAACAGCCGGATAATGTACTATGTAGTACCACGGCCAGGCCAAACTTACCTACAACGCTCTGCCAGCGTCTCTTCCATCCCCAGGGATCTCTTTTCAGCTCTTTGTGTCCATCACTCCTCAGTCCTCAACCCCGGTGGCGTTTCCGTCTCCATCCCTATCAGCCTCAGCCAGCCACATCCTCAATCAGTCTCAAATGCCCCGGTCAACATATAGGTTTTCTGCAGCTTTACACTTAGTGTCCACAGCAGATATGAAGTTAATTTTTATATCCCGCCCATAGCAATACTTCAGCTCTCATGTTCACAGAGTGACGTGAAAGTTTTTCTTTCACTACAGCAGTTTCTCAGCTTCCCGTAACACATCGGTCTCTCAGATACCCACTTAAAGGAACAGTCCCTCAGCTCTCCAGTCCAGAGTGGTCCCTCATCCCGTCATGCCCACAGCGCGGTCTGTCCGCTCACGCGGTGGCTTTCCGCCGACGTCTTCTGAAGACGGACATCCGACCACGACGGACCAGCACGGGGAGCGGATTGGCTCGGACGTTAATCCCGGATCAGTCGACGCCGGTGATGTCCGCGGCAAAATCGAGGGGAACCACAATTTATTGAGTCGATATGACAGCTCTGGTGATGGGCTGCGGCCAAACCAAGCCATTACTGGGAACTCGCCAACAAATAGAGTTATAGCTGAAAACTGATTTTCGATTGTCATTGCGGATGCGTTTTCATATTGCGCGCAACAAGCCCCGTTCAACGCACAACCTGGCCAACACGCCCTACAGAATAGGGTATACTCTATTCAACAGTAACTATTGGGCATTGCTTTTGTGACAGACAACTTTAAAATAGGGCACGGAAAGAAACAAGCGGTAGTTTAAAAACTAACTGATAGTTTTTGCATGTGTTATTAAGGAATAAGGCCAAATATATCCATTTGAACATGTATGCTTCATTGGTGTGACTAACGGCCCATGCAGCGGACGGTGACACGACACTCGTTTTTATGCCCATGTCGTGTGCGTCTTGACCCGGGGCCATCAGTGATAGACGCGTGGTCAGAGGCCGCCCTCTAACATCAGCTCCCTCAGACAAGGCACGCTCAACCCAAACCAGCGCCCATATAAGCCGCGCCTGCACCCCCGCGGGGTCACTCCGCCGCAGCCATGGCACTGACTAGACGTCGTGTTCTGCTGACGCTGTTTACGGTGCTGTCCCTGATAGCGGTGCCCACAAATGCCGCACAAATATTCAGACCATCGTCACACAGACGGCCACATAGGTCGCCAGAGGAGCAGCATCTCGACCGAGACGTGACTGAACGTTCGACAGAGAAACAACCGCTTGTATCCGGTGAGCCTCCAGATTCTGTTAGTCAAAGAGAAGCGGAATCGACTTCGTCTGCAGATGAAGAGCCTATTTTGAAGAAGCTTAGACTGAATGTGCGGGATTCGGTTACAGACGACCAATGCGCCGATCCATCCACCATACTGGACCCGTGCGATGGTTACGAAGGACCACGTCAGTCCCCGATAGACATCGATCCCTGCGGAAATCACGTGGAGGTTGACCGCAGCGTGCTGAGGTTCAAGAACATCGACTCTACCCCGCAGAGCATCCAGCTGTTAAACACGGGCAACAGAGTGATGGGCGCCGTCACCTGGGCCAACCACATCCCTACAACGATCAGCGGCGGTCGGCTGCCGGGGACGTTTGTCTTCGAGATCTTTGATATGCACTGGGGCGCCAACAACTCCTATGGTTCTGAGCACACGATCAACGGGTATCGCTACCCGGCCGAGCTGCACCTGGGCTTCAGAAACATCAAGTATGGCTCGCTCGAAGAGGCGGCAGCGAATGTTGACGGCCTGGCGGGCATTGCTGTGTTCCTCGACTTGCATTCTGGAAGCGCCGGTCGAGGTATCGCTCCTCTGGCGCAGTCGCTGTACGAGATCAAGGAGGCGGGCAGCTCCTCCCAGGTGGCCTCGCCACCCAACATGAAGCAGCTGCTGCCGAAGAGGCTGGACCGCTACGTGGCCTACACGGGCTCCCCGACTGCGGTGATCCCCTGCTGGGGTAACGTCGTCTGGTACGTCATGCTGGAGCCGATCAGGATCCTGGAAAGGGAGCTGGAGCTGCTGCGTGACCTGCGGAACGGCAGCGGTCACCGACTGTGCCAGAGCACGATCCGAGCCCTGCAGCCTGTCAGCTCCCGACGGCTCTACACTAAACAGCGCTTCCTGCGCTGTCTCACCAGACATTGAAAGAAGTTCAAAGGCGCGTTCCTGTGCAACCAAATGGTTTATCGCATATACAGGAAAGAGTTCGACGGCTGCTGATGTCAACATTGTCCCACGACAGAGCAGTGGCTCGATCGCAAGACATCGATGCGTGAGGAGCGCTCTCGAGCTCAGTTCTTGAGCGACATAGCGACACGCGCGGTATACTAGTGAAGTGGTGCTCTAAAGGACGTCAGATACCACACAGAAAGCTCTCTGTCATTTTTAGTTAGGTCAAATGTCAGGTAAGCATTGATCATCAAATGCAAATTCAAACTGCCCTGGTGTTAAAGGGCGTCGATTCACACTGCCCTGGTGCTTGTGAAGAGTGTCGATTCATACTGCCTTGGTGTTTGAAGGGTGTCGATTCACACTGCCCTGGTGTTGAAGGGTGTCGATTCACACAATTCCCTGGTGGTTGCGAAGGGTATCGATTCACACTGCCCTGGTGTTTGAAGGGTATCGAATATCGATTTACACTGCCCTGGTGTTTGAAGGGTGTCGATTCACACAATTCCTTGGTGTTTGCGAAGGGTGTCGGTTCCTGCTGCACTGGTGTTGAAGGGTGTCGATTCACACTGCCCTGGTGTTGGAAGGGCGTCGTTTCACACTGCCCTAGTGTTGCGAAGGGTGACACTCGCTGGGTGAGCACTGCGCCTTGTGTGATGGGCCACCGGGCATTCAAATAGCACATTCTCTACTCTCGAGAACCAGTCCTTCTGGCAGCTTAACGAGGAGACTCTGAGTGTGCCAGTCTCCTACCATGTCCTGTCGATTCCAGTTGGGGCTTTTGGTGGCGGATGAGGAGCGCAACCGAAAAATGGGTGAGTACGGCCAACAACAGCCAAACTGGAATGGGTCGCAGCACGGGACACAGTAGCGACAGAGAGGAAACACTAATCGGTATTAGGGTCCCCTAATAAAGTTTAGTGGCCCCTCTGGAGTGTGAAGACCAGCTGGGTCGGGGGTGGGTTGGGGAGCGGCAGTCCGTGGGGAGGGGGCGAGGGCGGGGAGGGCGAGGGAGGAGACGAGAGGACAGACGTCAGTCAGTGAGAGGGGACGACGGTGACAACAGAGGCGGGCCGCGAGTGGCGCTTCTCCCACCCCCCCATCCCCAACGGCACCAATGTCCTCAACATTGTCTCCTCCGTCTCTTTTTTTATTACTCCTCTCCCTCTCTCGTCCGACGTCGTCTCACCCACGGTTGTGGCGGATGAGGAGCGCAACCGAAAAATGGGTGAGTACGGCCAACAACAGCCAAACTGGAATGGGTCGCAGCACGGGACACAGGAGCGACAGAGAGGGAACACTAAATGCAAGTTTTCTTAGGTGCATAGAATCAAATAAGCTGCGCCAAAAACAGGTGGAAATAGCGCAAAACACAGGAAGTGAGACACCCGATTCCCCAGCAGGGCGAAAGTTATCTCTAAAGCAATTGCCCAGGTGAAAGTCCTACGGCCATTGTGCGTTTTACCACTGCTACGACCAGACGGGAGAGCAAAACGCGGCGCTCTGCAGCTCGTCCAGGCGCAGCGGCCGCTCCGTCTATCAACGCATTGGCGCCGACGCCCGCTTTGTCCGGGCGGACACTTTTTGTTCGCGCCAAATCACAGTGGTGACAAAAGGCGCGCGCCGATTCCAGTTGTCAATGGGGAAATAATTGCGCTGGTGACAAATGCGACGAGGGAGGTCAGGCCACGGGGTCAGATGACCTCGTGCTCTCCGGGCTCCCCGCCGCGCTGACCTCAGGCTCTGTGGAAGCATGGAGCACAGATGGACAGACCGAGACTAAGAGCTGAGACATACAGACAGGCGAACAGACAAATTGACGGACAGACGGACAGACGGACAGACGGACAGACGTACGGACAGGAGGACAGACGTACGGACAGGAGGACAGACGTACGGAAAGGAGGACAGACGAATAGACAGGAGGACAGACGAACAGGCAGAAGGACAGACGAACAGACGGAATCAGGTCAATCGATGTATTGTTATCTTGCTGAAATTGCAAGACAAATATATTACGTTTCACACCTTTAAAGGGACTATCCCACCTTCTAAAATGTTGTTAAAACCAGTAAAATTGTGCCCGACTTGGATGACTGGATGGATGATTGGATGACCAGGAACACGGTTCTGGCATTTATTTTGCATTAAACATCTTAGGCTTCCCATATTCCAAACACAAACTTTCAAATATGTGACGTCACAGCCCAAAATTACCTCCTTCCCCAGGCCACATTACTGTCATAAAGCTGATTCTTTTTACTCTGTAGGCACCACAGCAAAGTTCAGACCAAGTTTTAAGCGATTTTTCAACGAACAAACCCATTTAAATCAGAATGACTAAACGAGGTGATGTCACACTAACGGTCGCTCCATGTTGAAGATAGGGCCTTGTACAAGGCCCATTTTCAAATGAAGGGAACGAATTTCTTCAACACCAAGAGGCCGCGGGGGTTACAACCTAGATAGATAGTGGTTTCTGAACCTCGCCGCAAACTTGGCTATCTCAACTCAAACCCCATGTTAAAGGTGGGATAGTCCCTTCGTCTTTTAGACGACGGGACTAAGTAAGACGGTAATTCGTCTTTTTTTGCGAATGACAATGGTAGGCATTAATAACTGAGATAAACCATAAGTTTGCCTCAATTTGTGGTCTCTTGGACGTTGATTGTAACTCAAGAGCATGCCGCTGTTATAGAGAAGCTGTAGGCGACATTTGCTACTGTTCTGCCTCAACGGATGGCCCAGGAGGCGGGAGCAAATGAATCTAACCCATCGTCGGTACGGGGGTAGTCCCAAACTTCTCAGTACCCAGACCCTCCTGTGGTGGCCATGAACATCATGGAACACGTGATTTAACCATGCAGACAAACAGAGTACATATTAATCAGAAAGCGCCTTTGCAATTGGATGATGGTGTGAGCGCCTGCTTATATCACCCGAGTTATTTCAAAGTCCTATCGTTACTCACCGCTCGTGATGTCATGAGCGGACTAGGTAATTTGTCAACAAAAGGGCGAACATGAGCGGACTAATTTGTCAACAAAGGATCGTAGCCCAGTCCAACTAGCAGGCAGCACAGACTGTGCAGTTTTGTTTGAGAATATTCACGGTCTTCGGAGCCAAAAGTAATAAATTTAGAGACTAGAGTGAAGAAAGGAGAAATGTATGATACCTACCCGAGACTACGAGGGGATCAAACAAACCGTTTCTTTATCCCTAATATACATAAGTCACTTCAATCCCTTCCCCACCAGCACAACAGTTGCGCCCTTCTCGGGACCACCACAAGTGCCGTGCAAAAACGTGTGTGACCATCTCTAGACCGTCTGTCAGGCTGTATGCGCGGCTGCTCGATATGCGACCACAGACGGCTCGCTGCGGCCGGCGGCGGTGATTCCGCGACGCTCCATGACACGACAAACAATCTCACGGTGTCGGCTTACGGCAGCCGTGAGCAGCTGTCGGCCACATGACCCGTCTACCCCCCCCCCGCCCCTGCCCTCTACTCCGTCCAGGGAGGGGGAGACGGAGCCATCATTGGCTACCGACGACGGGACTGCTTGTTTTGCTTCCTCACATGTGTTTGGTTGTGCGGTGAGGGTACGGTAGCGGTCTGTTTCGGGGCAATTTTCGGAGCACCGTGCAGACAACTCCCTGTTTTGACCCCGCCGGGTCAAAACAGGGACAGAACCGATTGGTGATAGGGAGGGGGGGGGGGTAGGGGAGAGTGGGGTAAGATGCCCAGGGTGGGAAAGACGCCCCACCCCCTCTAGCGGGGAAACAAAGAATCGAACCTGGAAATTAATGTTCTTAGCGTAAAGCGGAAGCCTGCCTTGTTAACTGCACAAAAATTTGCGAAGCTCAGTTGGGCAACGGCTGGCTGGTGATTGCATGTTTTTTATTTGCTGCTTTCAAAAAATATTTTGGCGTCAAAACATTGTAAATATCAAAGAAGGTACATAATTTTTGCATCCCTTGCTATAGTCGTGATACATTAACATACGTGTACTGTGTCCCAAACAGTTTGTTTCAGGGTGTAGTTTTATGGCTAACAAATTGTGCTGATTTAATGTTACTTCGGTACCTTGGGGTAAGATGCCCCATGTCCTGATGGGGAAAGACGCCCCCCTAAATCCGTAGGCTGTCCTTCAAGCAGCCCGTCAAATCATTTATTACATACTTGTGATGAGAGACAAAAGCCGATCTGGGACTATTGAGAGTCCGGTACGGTCGGGTGCTCCCCATGCCGGTCTCTCGGCCCACACAGCGACTTTTTGGGCGGCATCTGACTCTGAGAGCCCTCACGACGGCCTCTGTGGGCCCCATTATTGGTTCCAGGGCCCCTCACGACATCCTTTGAGGGCTCCCACGTTGGCTCCACGGGCCGCGCTGGCATCTGAGGTCCCCACGATGGGCTCGAGGGCCCTCAAGCATCATGAAGACCTATAAGGGCCCCACAGTGGTCTCCGAACGCCACCACGGAGGCTTGTTTGGCCACGCTGGACTATGATGGCCCTAACGATGACCTCTGAAGCCCCTTACGACTACTTTTGAGGGCCCTTACAATGACGTTTGGTGTCTACTGCAGGCTCGAAGGGACTACTGATTCGTTCAGGCGATTCACGTGCCTATTTATGTCACTTATAGTGCAGGGGGCATCTTACCCAACGCCAGGGGGCGTCTTTCCCATCCTGTGGGGTAAGATGCCCCCTTTCACTTCTTTAGGAAAATGCTTAATAGCAAAAAAAGTTGTCATATTTCAGGCACGAAAGTGTGATATTTTTGGAGAAAAATGATGTCGGCTTCCGTTGAAACTCCAAGTTTTGGCTTTCCGATCGTCATTTTCGAATAATATATGATATAGTCAAACCCTGGGCATCTTTCCCCACTCTCCCCTACAAATGTCGAGGCTAGGTGCGATTATCGTGAGCGCGTCAGATTGTTAGAATGAAAAGTAATCAGAGACGGAAGGCAGATCCTGTCATTTTCATGCGAGTGCCGCTTTGAACACTTACCGTATTCGTACCGACGAATATTCTGGTCAACAGCCATTGAATAGTCGTCGCACCTCATGAGCGTATTTGAATAAAAATAGGCAGCAACCGACATGCCTATACTATCATTTAGCCCGCCCCACCGTCTTTAAAATTCTGCTTTCTTATAAATCTCTGACAACCCTGAGTTCCCCTTATAAAAACCTGTCCTGGGCCGACTACCCATCCGGCTACTACCTACCTAATTGGCTCCATGTTTTCAGACATGTCGGCCGTACCCTGCACGAACACCTGTCGGTCGTCAGACCTTTACGACAGAGTCGCTCCGGTGAGTTTACGGAGGGTTAGAGACGTGGTGGGGTCTCTTCATCAGGCGGCCCACATCTCCCAGAAACGGCGGACAGAGGGTGGGGACAGCAAGGAGAGAGAGAGAGAGAGAGAGAGAGAGAGAGAGAGAGAGAGAGAGAGAGAGGGAGAGAGAGAAAAAAAAGAGAGAGCGAAAGAGAGAGGTTAGGAAGCGATGGTTGACAATTACTGAGGCAACGCAGAGGCACAATAAGCGGAGCTAGTGGCAGATAGTTGGTTCCTGACTGAGGCGACGCGAGTGCTGCAGAAATGTGAAGGGAAAGGGAGATGTAATAATAACCGGAAGGAAGTTCTGGGATGAAGCATTGGAAATGCAAAGCGAACAGAAACAATAGGATAACAATGGTGTGCCAGGCCAAGCTGAGAAATGGAACGTGAAAAAACGTCAGCCGGTCACGAGGATGTCGTGTCAAAGTGCTATGATAAACGGTCGGGAGCGCTAATTACGGAGCGAGCGAAGCGAGCGGAGTCTTTCCTTAGCCCGGCCGGGCCCGGGGGGTAATCCCAACCACCGCAGCCCGGGGGGGGGGCGTTTTTCGCCCCCCCCCTGTCTAACTCCGTAAATAAGGGAGCTACGGAAACAAAAGCGATACCAAACGAAAGATCCTTACGAGACGATTCTAAAGCATCTAAAATTTTTGACCTCAGGTCAATTTTCAAGGTCAGAGGTCAAGGTCAAAGGCCAAAACCGGTACATGTGTAGTGATCTCAAAGTAAGCCTTCTAGAGGACGGCAGGCTGCATCAAACCGGCAAAATTGGGTGTCAAACGAAAGAAGAGAATCTGAGGATTCCGAAACTGTGCTCAAAATCAAAGGTCAAGGTCAAGGTCACGCTCAAAATTGACCTCAAACTTGGCACTTTTTCGCACACCTTGCGTGCTAACTTCCAAGATGTTTTGAAATGTTTTTAGGCTTATCAGTTCCCTATTTGTGGTTCATCTTACGATACAAGGTTGCTCAAAGGTCAAGGTTACAGAAGAGTATCCCTGCTAGAGGCTATTTCACTAATTCAAGTTAGTTATAATAAATAAGACAATTTTGCCATCCTGAAGCTCTAAATGAAGGCTGAGAGGAAAATAGATGCCAAATTCGTGATCAGCGGATACAAATCCATCATAAACGACCTTTCATGTGTCAAGGTCAACCAGAGGTCATTCGAGGTCACATGAGGTCAACATAAAATTTGACCTTTTCCGAACAAAATATATATCATTCGACGCGGCTTGACAAGGCGAATGCGATGGTACACTCGAGGGCAGATTGATGTTCCACCACTCCCTACCCATCGGGCTCCCATGGCTCAGCACCGGCTGCTGCCAGTGGCAGCACTGGGAGCACTAGCACTAGCCGGCAGTGCTGAGCAGTGCTGAGGGCAGGCAGCACTGGCAGCAGCCAGTGCTGAGCCATGGGAGCCCGATGGGTTGGGATTGGTGGAACATCAATCTGCCCCCGAGTGTACCACTGCCGTAGCTCTAGGACCATTTTTGTCGAAGTTATTTGCGAAAAACTAAAACCACATTTCGGGGTCGTTGACCTGACCTCTGACCTCAGGTCACCAAAACTATTTTTCTATTTTTCTCTAGGTCAAACGCTACACAACCGTGCTCGTAATTTGTCTTTATCTCTAAAACTCTATTTTTAGCAGCTATTTGAAGTTTGCGTCTGTGACGCCGAAGTTTGTCGTGCAGGGGTCTAGAAAAATGGACCTTGTGACGTCATCAAGGGGGCTAGGTCCACATTTTTTACTTCAGAAGATGTCAAATTGATGGGAGAGAAGGTACTGAAAGTTTCGCTTTCCTATCCCTAAGCGTTCGGGAGCTATCGCAAATATTCGCCAGGGGGGGGCGAAAAACGCCCCCCCGGGCCCGCGAGGGTTAGATTAAAGGGACTATCCCACCTTCTAAAATGTTGTTAAAACCAGTTAAATTGTGCCCGACTTTATAGATTGGATGACCAGGAACACGGTTCTGGCATTTATTTTTCATTAAACATGTTAGGCTTCCCATATTCCAAACACAAACTTTCAAATATGTGACGTCACAGCCCAAAATTACCTCCTTCCCCAGGCCACATTACTGTCATAAAGCTGATTCTTTTTACTCTGTAGGCACCACAACAAAGTTCAGACCAAGTTTTAAGCGATTTTTTAACGAACAAACCCATTTAAATCAGAATGACTAAACGAGGTGACGTCACAGTATCGGTCGCTCCATGTTAAAGATAGGGCCTTGCACAAGGCCCATTTTCAAATGAAGGGAACGAATTTCTTCAACACCAAGAGGCCGCGGGGGTTGCAACCTAGATAGATAGTGGTTTCTGAGCCTCGCCGCAAACTTGGCTATCTCAACTCAAACCCCATCTTAAAGGTGGGATAGTCCAACGGAAATATTGAGCATGAGCGGCCGGCCGGCCGTGAGGACGCTTTTGCGAGGCTTATATCTCAGCAACCACTTGACCGATTTACATGCGGTTATTTTTGTAGGGTAGCTTCATTCCTTCTACCAAGTACCTATTGGACTATTCCCGATGCATGTAGGTGACCCCTTATGCGCGTGCCACGTGCAAAATGAAGAGGTGTCAGTTTTGCAATTGTTGCAATATCTCGGTAACTACTGGGCAGATTGCGCTGAATGTTGGCATGTAGGTAGGCACCCACTAGGCAATGCATATCTATGTGCCAGAGTTGGGGTGTTGCTGCACGTGCGCACGTGCAGGGGTCGTTTCCAGATCTCGAGAACGGCTCTACCGATTGCGCTCAAATTTGGTACGCAGTTAGGGACCGGTTAGTAGGGTGCCGTGCAAAAGTCAGTCGGGACCCATTTTGCACGTGCGCACGTGCAGGGTGCTGCTTCCAGATCTCGATAACGGCTGGGCCGATTGCGCTCAAATTTGGCACGTCGCTAGAGACCGGTTAGTAGGGTGCCGTGCACAAGTCAGTTGGAGGTACCCCCTTGCAATTTCGCACGTGCAAGGCCCACCCTCTCGCTCGCTCCGTTAGTCGCCCCAAAAGGCGTTATACTGGTAATAAAGTCGGCAACAAACACACATTTTGCCAAGTTGACTGTTTCTTGCGAATCTGGGTTTGTGAGTACATTTCAGTTTCTAGTATATGCGTTTGGAAAACATTAATACCTACGGCACTAGGGAGTTGCTACAAAATATAAGGCTGAACAAGGCCAAGTCCTCAATAAGGCGACGCATTCCCATATGAATATTCTCTTCGTTCGTTCCATTACTCTCTGTTTGTCAGGCACCAGAAAAACGATGTTATTAGTAAGTCAACGTGTATTCAGTTTAAGCAGGCACTGAATCGCACGGAAAAGTTTTCCAGCGACCCAATTCACAATGTCAGCAGTGCAGAGTGCAGAAGCTGCGCCGCCGCCCGTGTTCCGCAATGGAGGCATACTTTACAAAAGGAGAGCTCTAGGAATCCCAATCATTTCCATCCAATGTTCCGCTCTGAATGTCTCAAATGCACGCAGCCAGCAGTGTACCGAACGTTCGAAATGCACGCACTGAACCATCGGGTCAAAGAAACGAGGAGTACTCAGCAAATAGTTGATACCCAGAATGGGTAAAGCAGAGCTTGAAAAATCAAACAAATATGCAGACATGGGATTATCATCTAGAATCTTCCTAAAACAATACCCACAGAAAACGAGCAAAGCGACACTGAAAGATCTTGGACGCTGGCGCGGTATCTCAGTCACATACCCCGCACAGTAGTTTATACCATGGAAAATATTACAAATATTACATTAAATACACGGCCCCCAAACAGCACTTAAAGCCTTCTGGTGGGCACCCCCGGGAGAGGCAGGGAGACCGCTAACACCCGCTCAGCTCCACCGTCCCGACCCACACGGCACTCCTGAGCTCTAAACTCCACCAGTCAGCCCACCGGATCTCAGACTTCTCAGCTTTGGGTGTTATGATAAGCGGCAGCAGGCTTGTTCAACATCCCCGCTGACCAGCCAAGGAAGCTCAGCACTGCTCAGTCACAGCGGCGACGGAAGGCCGTCAGAGGCGACCGAGCGGGGAGTCGGCCGGGCCGCTACACACCGCGCGAGTCTGCCACGGGCGTCGCCAGCGAGCACCAGTCGGGCAGCTACACACCGCGCGAGTCTGCCACGGGCGTCGCCAGGGAGCACCAGTCGGGCAGCGCTCCCAGTTCCAGGTACTTCTCCCGGGTCAGGGAGCGGGTCAGCACCACGTCCGTGCCGCCGAACATGGCGCCTGAGGTGGGATGGAGTGTCCGGTTAGAGTCGGTGCTAGGGGGAGCAGAACGTAGTAACACAATGTGTCACAGTCACTAAGGGTACATATATAAAATCGTTGAATTCAACGCCCATATTACAGCAATGCTTCACAGATAAGGACATGTATGAAGACACCAACGGCAGAGCTAGACCTATCGGTGACAATGAGTATTTATCGGAAAGCCTCAACTCGTGAGTCTGACATCCCCTCAGCCCGTTGAGTAGGCAGACCGCTTTACACATCTCTCCCTCAATACATACCTCCGAGCCAGGTGAGGTAGTTGGCTTTGGCCGGCGGCCGGTGCATCCTGAACGTATCCAGGTGGAGTGTCTCGCTGTACGGGGGCAGAGCGGCCTGGCGACGGACCTCCGACAGCAGGCGCGCCTTGATTCCGGGTAGGTGAGCGGTACCTCCGAGAACCACCAGACTGGCGGCCAGCGGACGGCGGCTGTCCAGAGGGCACTGAGGGGTAGAGAGGGTGGAAGGGTTAGACAGACAAACATGACAGTTATAGAACGTCATATAGAAAGGCTAGAAGGAAAGCTTGTTATATCCAAATAGGCAGACAGATGAATCAACTGACTAGTTTCGAGCACTGCAGGTGGCAGCAGCTGTTACCGTATTGCATACTGTAACCAAAACTGACAGAGGAAATAAGGAGACGGTAAAGGAAACGATAGTCAGGAGTTAAGTAAGCAAAGTTGATAAAGCTGTGCTCAATGAGCTTATTGAAAAACGAAGGTTTACAAATTGCCTTCACAAATCATCATCATACTAACAGCGCCACCACGTCAGGTAGAGCTACAGCTTTCACAGTCCCGGCGGGCGGCGCTACGGTCACCGAGCGGTCGAAAGAGGGCGTAACAGAGGCAGCGCAATGCTCCACCAGTCAAAGGTCTTATCTATTCTCCGTATCCAACCAGCACCGCTCCCAGCAGACTCTGCAGAATGGCCATCAAACCATTCCCACAGATATCCAAAATCTACCCACCTGCAGTAGCGCGTCCAGCAGCATAGTGGCCAGCGTCTGATTATCTGCGTCTGCCGTGAACAGCACCTCAGCGGGCAGAAGGCGACTGCGGCCGGCCACGGTCAGTGTCACGCCGCCGGGGAGCGGGTACGGCAGCGGGACGGGTATCGGCTCGGAGCCGGCCGAATCTGACGGCGCAGAGGGCGCCACCAGCACTCCGCGCACCTGGGGAGCACAAAGGGACACTGGTCAGTGATAAGTGAGGTGTCAGTGATGGTGGGGGATGGGGCACTCAGCATTTTAGTGAGACGGTAACACAAGACAGCTGCATAAGTGAGGGACAAGCAACCAGGTGTGGCCTGAGGTGCGCACTAAAAAGAATGCAACACATAATGCCAAAGCTCACCAATAGCTTATAACCAAAAATACAGCAAGGAGGCACCAGTGTATGGCGAAGCCGCCTTGATGGTAAGCAAAGCACCATCACCGGGAGCAGAGTACGGCACATTGTCTAATGTCTACCTACCTTGATATCTTCAACGACGGCGTCGCTGAGGCTGTCGACCACCTGTTCTACGGACCGTCCGGCGGGGTCCACCACACTACCGTGTTCCTTCAGAGCGGCCCGCAGCGACCTGGTGACCACAGAAAGACATATGTGAGGGACGACGTGGGGCCACTGGGCAAGGCTGGGACAGAGAATATGGAGCACATATCGGTTTTTGACGTTTCCCGTCTGCAATAGAACGAGTTAGTTAGCCAGCTCTGGCGAATGACATTTAACGAATGCGTCTTTAATCGTTGTACAACGCATTCTAAAAAAGATCACCTCTCACATCGTTAACTGCCGTCAACCAGCCACCACCAGAACCAGTATAGAATGACAGCACTAGATAATGTACCAGCCCACAGCGATCTCCACCGTTCGCAGCTCGCTCCAGCACCCCGCCCTGACCTGTGTACGGCTCGAGCGGCCAGCGGTAGCGCCTGCCACGCTCGCAGCACGGGCACTCCCTCATAGACGGGGATACAGACGGCCTCCTCGTGACCAATGTCGAGCACCAGACCAGTCTGAAGGCCGAGCGGCATCAGGGCCAGCAGGTGCGACGGCGCCAGCAGCAAACACGATACCTGGGAATGTGAGAAGGGTGAGAGGTGAGAACGCTAGCAGCAGACAAGACACCTGGGATGTGAGAAGGGGGAGGGGGAGAAGTGAGAATGCTGGCAGCAGACACAACACCCAAGGGTGTGAAGATGGGAATGGGGTGAGGACGCCAGCAGCAAACAAGAAGGTGTGCAAGGGGAGGGAGAGCTAAGGACTCTTAAAGCCAAACATGCTATATGGAGGGCGTCAAAAGCAAACACGACAAAGTGCAAACACGTGAGAAGGTAATTGTACAAGTGTGGATGGTCACAAAATTGTGATTGTCAGAGCGTTTGGCTAATTGTCTGTAGCAATATCAAACTTATAGTAGGTACTTTACCATACATTTCATTTGACCAAACACATAATTGATAGGAACTTGAAGCTTAACGTGACATTGATCAACGGAAAAAATGTGCATTAGGAAACTACATAATTGGACAAACCAACCATTCACGTTTAGGAAATAGCAACACATTTTTGTTTCCATTATATTATCAGCGTCACCAGGGCAACGGAGTCGATTGATTTTTTTGGGACTCCTTCTCCTACTCCTACTCCGACTCCCACTCCGACGCACGAGTAGGACCTGAGCTTCGACAAAATCTAACTTATAAATGTCAACGAGCGGAATATTGTCGAGCAAACGGCTGTAGGGCATGACTGAGCCACGCAGTGTTAACTCCGACTCCGGAGTTGAAGTCGGTAAGATTTTGGCGAGTTCCAACTCCGACTCCGACTCCGGTAAGAAAAGAACAGCCGACTGCGAACGACTCCGACTCCGCAGCCCCGCCAGTGACTGAGTGACCACCACCATTCATGGTGCATCTCTCACCTCATAATGCCTGAAGAGGACGCTGGCCAGCACATCTCTGAAGATGGTGGGGGTGAGCAGTGACTCGGCGACCACGACTGGGCGGTCCTTGGGGCTGACCAGCAGTCGCCTGAAAACAATACGGTCAGGTCAGGTCACCATAAAACACTGGCTAGTCTATGGAGTCACCAGACGCGCACTCAGCCTAACACTTTCGCACGGACACTCTCACGCGCGCAGTTTACGTGGAAGTTTCCCTTCGGTCGCTTGCTTCCGGGCAGCTGCGGGAGCCACAGGAAATGTGACGTCATACCCAGGATACTTCGACACTCTCTGGGCCGCCAGCGCAGCCCAGCAGGGTGTATCGACCCCACCTGAAGTAGATGGTCTCTAGGAGCGCCACCAGCAGCCGGTCGAGATCCTCCCTGTTGCGGTAGTCGAACACGGATCGCTCCTGGCCGTCCAGCTTGACACGGGTGGGGATGATGGCCCGTGGGCCTGTCTCGCCGCAGAACCCACATCTGAAACACACTCGGTGGTCAATACCTACAAGCAGAGGGCAGCCAGGAAAGCATTTTGGGCATTATCAGGAAATAAACTAAAGCAGGTCACAACACTCATAAACTTAGTAGACAATCATCAGTGTAAATATAATAAACAATGATATAGCTTAGGGTCGACTTTTCAGCATGGAATAAATCCCTCAGACAGGAAATTGGTGGAAGCTGGCGTACAGGCTCTCAATATAGAAGAATGAAGAGCATTGGTGATAGGAACAGATGCTTAACCTGCTGTCACTTTAACCAACATAAAATTGATGTGTGAAGTTAGTGCCATTTGGTCGCTTACAAATGTCATTGACCAATTGACCATACATAAATCATTTGCTGATTTGAGGTAGAATACCTATCCAAACAGTTAAGCTGACCTATAATATCTACATCAAATGACCTCTCAATGGTTTGAATGTGTGTAAGCATTTATTAGTCTAGTAAATTAGTTCACATTAGTGGCAGAGTTTCAAACAGTTATTGAAGAAAAAAACATTATACACACATTAATAGTATAAGGATATTGCTGCCAAAAATAGCCAAAGTTTTTTTCCAGGATGTGTATCCCCAGTGGTGGTTAACAACTCACTTTGTGTAAGCACTGCCAATGTCCAGGCACACTGGTGGTAGCTGCTTCTCTCCAATCAAGCCAATGCCCTCGTAAAGGGGCATGGTGGTCTATCTGTGGAAACAACAACTGTGTCTCACGCTTCATATATATATAAGCTAGCTAGACACAATTGAATGAAGCATGTTTAGCTAAACAAGGTGATTGTAGTATATATGGTCCATGGTCCATTTTCAACTTAAATCAATAGTGAGAATATCTAAAATGAGAAATAGATGTATTCATTTTATTCCAGAGGAATTAAGTATGATATTGATGTGTCCTTATCATAATTCATATGTTTTCAGCAGGGATGCGGAGCCGGAGCCGGAGCCGGAGCCGGAGCCGCTGGAGCCGGCATATTTTGCTCGGAGCCGGAGCCGGAGCCGGAGCCGTGAAACAATATAACCCGGAGCCGGAGCCGGAGCCGGAGCCGTCAAAAAAGGGGGCGACTCCGGCTCCTTTTCTTACGAGGAAACAATTATTTACCTAGTTCGGTTTGACAATACAAGGCGTAAAACAATGTGGTATTCAAAATAGCCTTGTTATACAAATACAGAAGCAACGTGTACCAATCCCATCGCCTTTTTTCTTCAACCCGTATTTAATTGATCGCATAGTGGATGTACTGAGTAGAAGCCGGAGCCGGAGCCGCCGGAGCCGGATCATTTTACTCGGAGCCGGAGCCGGAGCCGGAGCCGCCATGACATTTCACCCGGAGCCGGAGCCGGAGCCGATCTTTTTCTCCGGAGCCGGAGCCGGGGCCGTCTGAAATTTCCACGGCTCCGCATCCCTGGTTTTCAGTAACAAATTGTGTCAGGTATAAGGCAGGCCAGTGATAATTTTCAAAGAGCTCTGTTTTTGCTGGTTGTTAGAGAAAATTAGAGGCTTGCCAAGTGAAATGTTGATAAATTCCTAGCCCAGTAACAGAGAATGTGTCAGAAAAAAAAAATATGAAAAAATGCCCAGGATTTACTGAAAAAGCACACAAGTCACATTACATTTGAAAAGTCATGAAATGAATCAAACATTTTCATTCATATTCAGTTGGGGAAACTAAAAGGAGCCAAACAAAAATTGGATTAGCCAATCAACGGCTGGAGTGGGCGGGGCAATGACCATATATGGTCATAAAATCAGACTTCATCTTTTCAATGAATCCTAGCATTCAAATTTCAAATGAACAAATAAGGCATAATAATGTTTTTTAACCACACAAAGCCTACACTCACTCGGTGCATAATTAACTGGCAGCTCTGCAACGCAAGGTCAAACAGTGATTGGCAAATATGGCAGAGTGAAACAGATGCACCAAAAAATGTATGAAGTACCGTGGTTTAAAAATATCCTTATTTTTATTATTTTGTTTATGGTTTTTGTAATTGTGGTTAAGTTATTATTTTAAAATTAAATATCTTTGTTTATTGTAATTAAATTATCTTTTAAAAAATTTCTTTCAAAATACCAATCCATTTATTGAATGGCCAGCCGATTATGACACCCAGAACCTGCAAAACAGCCGTTTTCTTATCGTCATTTTCAAGTCAATTGGCCAAATTTATCAAATCACGCTAATTCCTAGTGAAAAATGGAAGCCTTTTCTCTCCGATTAAGTGGACGCGATACCGCAAGTACCGGCTTGTTATACCGTTTTTCACCCTTAGTAGCGGGGGCTGCATTTATGTCCATATATGGTCATCAAAAGTCCATTTATTGACCAATCAATTTTTGGATATTCGCCTCGTAGTTTCCCTGTATATTAGGACCAAGAAGACAACGAACGATACAAGCCAAGGCCCTATGTACCCAACGATAACGATAGATTGAGGTCCATGTCCCAAAATAGTTGCAATAATCACTAGTGGAGTAAACCCACTACTTCAAAAAATGCACCAATCAATTAAAAAACCACACATACATTTCACAGCAGGCACCACACTTTTCGCAACCACGGCACCACAGTCTTGCCACAGTCCACAATTGTAGCAAAACAGGTAATCAAGGATAACAAAATTCAAAGAAGTAAGTATAAAGAACAGCCATGAACAACCCTTTTACAAATGACGTCAACTAAAAATGCCTTTACTTGGCCTTTACAAAAGTCAATTTTCCTTTCAATCTGAATAAGAAAATATAACTAAGAACTTTGAACTCAATGTAGTTGACACATTGACCTATTGTATTGTACAGTAGGTCTACTAAAAAAGTCCCCCGCTCCAGAGGCGGCCGGCCGGCCGAACCCCCGGATTACAGCCCCGACTCTATTGCGCAGGCCGCGGCAGTGACACGGGTCAGGTCGCGGCGCCCGGCGAGTGGGTCAGTTGGCGGCGGCCGGCCGTGGAGTGAGGACGCCGTGTGTGGGGCGCAGAGATGCCGCAGTGCAGAGGAGGGGAAGATAGTGACTCTGCACGATGCCGGAAATGATGCCTTTGTGATCTAAATTAAACACCTGCACTGCAGTGCATATCCTCCCTTGCCCCATTCCTATTATATCATAATCCTTCAATAATCCGTAATGACCATTCAACGCAAGTAAGCAAACAAAACAACCCGTTTAGCGGTGACATCGTCTCGGATAAAAAAGCGACAGTGATGATTAGAATTGACTTAGCGGGAGGGCAAATCTTGGGGTATATATGTATCACATGCCGAGTATTTTATTCCCATCTAGCAAATTAAGATTGGGGATCTTGTCCAACAAGTCAGCGGCCGTTCTAGACACAGATAAATGCTTTGTTTTCGGTCGCATCATTATCTGCAATAATTCTAAGCGAGGTTTAACCCTCGCCGGCCGAGAAAAGGGGATGGATGCCGCCACCATGTATTTTTTGCGGTAGCTCAAAGCACACTGATGATAGAAGGCTGACATTTCATATGCCTTACATTTGATTCAAGCCGGATCATTTGAAATCAACCACGTTTTCATGTCAGGTCACTTAACTATGACGTCTTAACCCTCGCCCATGTAGGGGGGGGGGGTTGGTGCAACCCCCCCCCCCCTGAGGTTTTTCGGAAACAGTGCAAAAACGGCGGCGCGCAGCGCCGCCAAATTTGGGTACCTTATGGGGCAAACTTGCGCATCTTTTGATAAAAAATTTGACCGGGTCATGTCAGGTCACGGAGTTATGACGTCACAAAGGGAACAGCCTCCGGCCGGATTTTCACAAACTGAGTGCCAACGCCCGAGGTTTCCTGCCGGTGGTACGGAGATCGGTTGATGGATCGTGATGAAACTTCCCATGCATGTTGGGGCAAGTATTGGCTATCATATGGTATAAGAAACTTGACCGGGTCAGGTCAGGTCACGGAGCTATGACGTCACAAGAGGAACAGCGTCCGGTACTATATTTGAAAAGCGCCCGAACCACTATTTTGCTAATTCTTGTCACCTCAATGGGAATATGCAGCAATATTAGCTTCTATAGGGAGCAAATGGACCTTCCAAATCCAAAAATACAATCAGATTTCAAAAATTTAAATTTTGATTTTTCGAATTTCTGCCGCCGACTGTGACCTTGCCGACTTCCGGCGCTCCCAACGCGCCATTTTTAGAGCTAGGGAAACGAAATACATACCAAACGATAGAGAATTGATCAAGGAACACGATAGTGAAGGTTTCAAGTCGATATCTCCCACCGTTTTGCCGCAATCGCCGCGGAAAGTTGAAAAAAGTCTATTTTTCCGAAAATTTGACCTTTGACCGGTCAAAAGTAGGTCAAATGTTGACCTAGGACCAAAAAATATACCACCAATCGCGAGATCTCGGCGAGAGCAATCCGTTGGTCTTTTCCGCTAAGCTCTACGACGCTCCGTTTTCAAACGCCAAGGGGGGGTCGCACCAACCCCCCCCCCCCCTGCATGGGCGAAGGTGGCAGATCGCCGTTTACGAGCGAGGGTTAAGTAAACCTTTGCAGACTGCACGGTTGTCGGTTATAAAATGATGCAAATCCGTAACGCACTTAGTGTCTTATAAGCATAATGGAAAAATATGGAAACTGTTAATTTGGCGTCGGAAATGGCCTAAAAACTATACCTCAAGCACATGAAATCGTGACTTCATACATTCTTGGCAAGGTTTAATGCTTCACTTTTGCATTTGCATTGTTCACCTTGCGTGACGGAGTGCTCGTCAATAGGAGTGCTTCGTCAATAACTCCCGATCAAAATGAGCTAGCCAGTCGGGACAGCCATCAATGGACTCCGCAAGACTTGCCGAATCAAATGTTATGCAACATGTCCTCCTTTCAACAGCTTCGTGACCTGTGTTGCCCTAACATGACATTGACCTAAACATCCTAAATTGCTTCACCTAAGCCAAAAACATATAAATCGACGCGTCTGAGAACAGAAAACACGATTGTATCGAAATGACGATAATGCGACCATTTTTTTGGCGAAGTTATTCACCAAAAACCGATCCAATGCCTTGGGGCCCTTGACCTGCCCTAAGAGGTCACTGATATTTTAAAATGGGGTAACAGTCGCTGCGTCACGTAACGACGCAAGCGCTCGTTTTTTTCCGCGAGGCTCTAGCAGTTAGCTCAATTATAGGAGCTAAACATGGGGTTGGGGAATCGCTCCCTTCTCACTCACTATTTGGCCGGGATAGTGTTTGCAATTATTGTTAAAATCTAACATTTTAAGATTTCAAATGACCCATTTTTCCCGCCCATGTCAAGTCATTCAAGGTCATAGCACCAGGTCACGTTAAATGACCTTACCTCAAGGAAAGTTCCTGTGCTCATCATATCTAAATACATCGACTAACCGACCGCTTTAGAACCTTCAGCGATTTCAATGGGCAACAGTATATGTATTTGAAAGTTTTTTTTTTGCAAGTTTGACATTGCTGACAGAAAGGTCGGGTCAATTTTGAGATCGCTGAAGTCAATGGGAGAAGGTTGAACTGCGCTTTTTTTGGACGGAACGCATAATAAACACTCTGAAAACATGTGGTGCCTGATGAGATGCAATACTGAATGATAAAATTGTTTGTTTTGTTGGGAGCCATCTTTTTTCGGTCTGAGAAGGCCCTTGCAGAGCTCTATGACATAATTATGCTCTGGTGTAGTAATTTGGTTGTGCGAGCCAGCGACAGTGATCTGCGGAAGCGTGACTGTTCCCGTGGGACGATTGCCCTGTCGGGGCGGTCCAGCCGTCTCCCCAACGGTCACCCGAAGAGGATTATTTGTCCTGGAATGGAACCGACATCAACTACAGGTTGGCTGGTGCAGGGTGACCTCCAGTCCAGAGAGGGAAGCATGAAGACTAGGGGCGATGCGGATTGGTTTTTCCTGAGGATAGCGAGCCGAGGACGGAAGGAATCTAGCACCCTTGACCCCGGGTAACTTTTAAAGGGGGGGAAAAGGGGAATTTCCCCCCTTCGAAAATTCCGCTCCCCCTTTCAAATTGTGCGTGAACAGCTAGGGAGGAAGGGGAATTTCCCCCTTTCAAATTTATTTTTGAGCCCATTTTCAATCAATTCGCTACTCAGATTCTATAATCATCGTTGATCAGACTCTAGTCATCAATCAACGTTGCTGGCGCTTATATTAGATAATTTTCAATTTGAGGTTCCATCCAACCATTTTACGTTCAGTGCAGCGGGAACTACAGATTTGACCCGATACCGATCGGATGGTCGGTGGGACCGTCTCTTGTCTTGTCTCTTCCGTCTCTTCGCAATCACTGACATATCGCTACAGGCAGGGGTGTAACTTTTGATTTTGAGATGGCGGTGCACTTGGTGATGGGGGCGACATTCAATGAGGATAGGGGCGCTTTCCAAGGAGCATAAATGGTGCATATCTCTCAATAGGCGCGCACACAGGATTTTTGAACGGGGGGGGGGGCACGACCTTCAAACTGCCCCCCTCCCCCATGACGAAGGGCCCCAGGCCCCAGCCGAAAAATTCCCCGACGCCATTCTATTTCAGTTGACTTGAAACTTGGCTTTTGTCGATACATGATTAAAACAATCACTTCAGTACCTGTTCAATTTTCAAAGCATTGAATGTTCTATTTTTGTTTACGCAGCATGTTTCATTCAAATACGATTCAGTGATTAGTTATCACCATCTTAACAATCACGTAAAATATTCTATTAATAAGCGTGGATGCAAGGCCCTCAAAAATCAGTCCGGGTAGCGCCTTACTGCCAGCCGGCCGACCGACCCGGGCTACTGGCTAGCTAGAAGCGGAGGCTATAGTCACGGGTAAGCCCGGATGTGTATGAGCGGGGCAGCACCCCCTTTGTCAATTCGCATATCTATTCAGCCACATAGACATGAAAAATCATTACAATGATTCGTAGCGAGATCACAGACCAGAGATTTAACTTTTCTCACTTTTATACCACAAATTACAAAGACACGATTTTCAGGCGGCATGCCCACTTTCCTAAGGTACCAGTCGTAACAGATATTCAGGAAGCCCATACCAGGGCACGTACGGCCGACGGCGGCCCCGATCACCCACCTTTCGCTGTCCCGGCGGCGAGCGAGGGACCCACGGCGACCGCGCACCTCACCGACAAAGCAGCACTGTCACAACGAAGAAGCCCTCAAGGGCCCGAAGATCCGAGGGTCCTTTGAGGCCTTCTGAGCCCGCTGAGGGCCGTTTGACGTCAGCTGAGGGCACTTTGGACCTAGCTGATGGCCCCTTGAGTCCTTCTGAGCGCCATTTGACGCCAGCTGAGGGCCATTTGATGTCAGCTGAGGGCCCTCTGACACCTGCATGGGGCCCTCTGACACCAACTATGGGCCCTTTGAGGCCTTCGGAGGGCCGTTTGACGTCAGTTGAGGGCCCTTTGAGGCCTTTTAAGGACCCTTTGACGCCAGCCGAGGGCCCTTTGAGGCCCTCTGAGGGCCGTTTGACACCAGCTGAGGACCGTTCGACGTCATTTGAGAGCCCTCTGACACCAGCTGGGGGCCCTCTGACGCCAGTTAAGGGCCCTTTGAGGCCTTTGGAGGGCCGTTTGGCGCCATCTCATGGTCC